ATAAAATAATACTTTATTCCGAGTGTGCTTGCTTTTCTCTTTGAAAGTCATCACATAACGGCATTGTAATACACGGTTCGGCTGCATTAAATATTACATATCTGCCGTAGTTCTGTATTTATAGAGCCCTGATGAGAAGACTTCTAGACAAACATGAGGAACTGAAAACGTGACGTGGATCATAAATATATCAGCCATTAAACAACATCTTACATTTATTTTCACACAATACGTCTCCTTGCAGTATCAACACTAATTCGGCTGACTTTTATATTTGATCCAATTGGTAGATAGGCTGTATTTACACCATAAAGGTGCACAGCTGATATAAAGGGACACCTAGTGGTTAAAGCATGTTATTGAATTTCATTATTTTTATTATTAGATATTAAAAGGATCCCTATAAAGTATATTCATTACTCGTTATTCTCTACTAATAGTTAATTAAATACTGTATATAATGACTATTTTGCACATCCCTTTCAAGATTTTCTAAGGTTTATTGACATATCATATAGGCCTACACAACTATGGTGTAGTTCTGCATTGAATGAAAAACTTGGGTCGCAGGTTCCTCAATAGTGCATTACAAGACATCTATCAATATTTGTGCATACCTCCAGCAATGTTAACTATGTTGAAGCACTTATTTTAACTGATATTATACATAATGTATTATACTCTTATAAGATGTATGTAGACATTTCATCTCCGGCCTTGTCAGGTATTGAACAATCAATAAATAAAGAACACAGAATTGTTAAATATAAAACACAGAATTTGTGTGATTATACTAAATGATTTAAAAATAAACACCACTGCATATTTACAACTGTTACACATGCTGATGTAACGCAAATGTTCCAACTTGGGATCAATAAAGTATATCTTATTTTAAGCTGATCGATGGCTACTGCCATATTTGCAAAATGTGCCTCTGAACCTTGACAAGTGCATGTTTCAGGCTTATCAATTAATGTAATGTAATGTTATCAATTAACAACAGGGGTCACAAACATAAGACCAGCTGTTAAATAAAGCTCTTCTGACCTTAGCTGGCATGTGTGTATATATATTAATGCTGCCCATTATGGGCACAAGCAATTTTCACCCATTTATTAATTATATGTTTTAAATGTGAGTGTTTCCTATCCCCTAAACCTCCAGGGATGTACACAGTTTAATACTGGCAACTTCTTATTATGGGAAATACGAAAACGTCTTTTAAAACTACAACTCCCAGTAGAGACGTGCCATAGATAGAGAACATGTTGCGAAACAGAATAGCCAGCATGTGTAGTTCTGGGGACGGAGTGGGGGAGGGGGGGACGCGGTGGACCCGTTCAAATCTAGTTTTGGACAGTCTGCCGTGGTTCCATCCCATTTCAAGTGCTGTTCGAGAATCGGCGTAACCCTCGGAGCACACTCTCCAATCACAGAGCTTGAGGACTATCACGGGGTTTGTCAAACAGAGCACATGGTGTAGTCCAAACGATAGCTGGGGATTCTGGGTAGTGTAGTGTCTTCTGCCATCCTTTACTCAGAAAAAACATTTGTTTCTCCGAATCGAAGGGGAAAAATACAAAAGCATTGCACACAATTTAAACCAATCAATGTTGTGTAATTAACAAGGATAATCTGGTGTTTTTTAGTCGATGAGTAGTGCAGATATCACTGTAAAATCAATCGACAGTAAGAGGAATACTTACTTCCGGGTGTACAATTCTCCGTTATCCAATGGGAATGGACGCTCACATTGCCTTTAAGGGCAGCCGACACAAACGAATGCCGTGCTTCCATGAGCGTCAAATCCCGCCGCAGATGGGAATACATTGCAATCAGTTGAAAGCTATTTGCGTCCCTTTATGACGCTGAAGGAGCCTAGGAGCGTCACAACTGGACGCCACGGACACTGACCAAACGTCGCTCCTGGACGCTTAGGGAGTGAGAGTGTGTTGTCAGATCACACAAGTCTTTAGGGTATATTAACATAATGACTAACACAAACTAAACAAATATGTTTTAATTTTTGTTTTATTGTGTGTCCTTTGTAGAGGACATCAGAGGCCTGTACTACGAAGCTGGTTCAACCTAACCATGATATGTTTGAGTTAGCCGGTTGGCCTAATCCAGTGGTTCTCAAAGTGGGGGGCGCGCCCCCCCAGGGGGGCGCAGAGGCATGACAGGGGGGGCGCGAGAGACCAGGAGGAAAAATGGTTATTACATTTTTTTTTTTTAAAGATAAAAAAAAAAAAAAAAAAAATCATATTTTCAAAAATTATTGATTCGAAAATAATATGATACAGTACTATTACGTCTGGGTCTCTGTGTTTCATTAAAGCTTGGCTCTGTGTGTGTGTGGAACGAGCCATTTTGTGTGCGTGCGCGAGCGAGAGAGAGAGCGCACCGGTACCGGAGATCGTTGCTGTTAGCTTCTGGTGCTAGCGAGCTACGCCAACGGATATAAGGAGTTTTTTCAACAACAAAGTGGAGGAGAGTCCTCTCCTGTCAGACTGAGAGACTCTGAGCTAAAGGACTCTCAGTGTTATCTCAGTGGGTCTCAAACGTTTTGTCACCATTAATATAAACAATTATTTCCGAGGCACACGTTTATATGATCATTATAGTTATACAAAAATAAGAGAATACATTAAAAACAGGTATGAAATACTATGACAGTAAAACAAGAATAAAGTTTAAAAGGGTGATTAGTAAAATATCCATAAAGAAATAGTAAATCTGTTTACAGTTCTGTGTTGAGAGAGGTATCCATAGATCTCTTCATTTTGCTCTCAAAGTGCACCAGATTGATGCTTTTAACTTCAATATTTAAAAACAAATCTTCCCGGGGGAGCTTGCCCCCGGAGCCCCCTAGAGGAGGTGAGGACCCCCTTAGAGGAGGTGAGGACCCCCCTATGTGAGGTCCACACACCACCTATAAAAATAGCACTTTACCCCTACTTACACCTATATGCCGTGAGCTGATTATCGAGCCTTCATTGTAACAATCGCGGGTACATTGTGTATGTGTGTGGGGAGTGTTGCAGTAGAAAATTCCACTGTAGCGCCTCGTACATTAATGGGAAACCCTAAATGTTTGAGCACCCTCTATGAAACGTCAAGCTACCCCACAGTACCCGCAAAATAAATCTCTGGCGCCGCCACTGAGCCTGACTATTTGTGTTGGGGGGGGCCCGACTTTTTTTTTTCTCCAAAGGGGGGGCCTGACAGAAAAAGTTTGAGAACCACTGGCCTAATCCAAAACATACGCGCTCTCGCTAAACTGTACTACGACGCAGGTTATCAAGTGGATCGCTCAAGCCAGCCGTGTCCTATCTAGTTAGGTGCGCGTTCACATGAAAGGGGTGGTATCTGGAGCATTCGACCAATCACAAACATGGAGAAGCGTACTGACAGCGCAGCGTCATACTTCCTGAATGAAAAGTAAACTATAATATTAGACATATGAAGAAGTTAAACTTTAAACATCCATGACTTAAACACTTGATCCAGGATCAAAGCCACATAGCTGCACCTGCAAGGTGAATACAGCTGGGAACAGAACAAGAGTTTGAATGCGTACATTAACAGGTTTATGATATCACTGCCCCGTCTAAGACACGATCTGACTTTCATTACATTTGACTCGAGTGTTTCGTCAACTTAACGTGTTGCTTAAAATAATACTTCTGCATACAGTATGTGACACTGTGAGTGTTGCACGGCCAGATACGGCTCAGCTGACTCAGATAAGGAAATATATGAAGTGATATGATGATATGAATGATAATGGGACACATCGACGTCTGCACTCAGTGTTTATGTTGTGGCAGATATTTAAGTAAGCTTTCTTAACGCTAATGTTATAATAGTCAGATTGCTCTGAAGATGGAGGTGATATTCTATTCATGTTCACGTTCACACAGTCGGTGATTTTTGCCGGCCGTCTTTCCTGCGACGGCAGCTTTTCTGTATTTCCTTTCTCCTGTAATATGACTTGATCGCTTTGAACTCCGCACACTGAGCTCTGATTGGTCAGCAGGCAGTGCTTTCACTGAGTTGACAGCCTGCAACCTAACCTGCTCCGCTCAGCATAAGTTACCATGGAGATCTAGCCCGCTAAAAAGTGAACCAGCGTCGTAGGACCGCAAACCCCGAGTTCTCCCTGAAGTTAGCCGCTAAGCGAAAAATCCTGCTTCGTGGTACAGGCCTCTGGTGTTAGTTATGCGAAGCATAGTATACAAACACCATTAACATACAAGTACATTTAGACAACATTAGAGCACAACAACAAATACTGAGCCCTCATTTACTCCATCCTTTTTTTAAATGCAGATATAGCCTACATCTGACACTTGAGGCACTTGATGTGTGTTTTCCCACTGCATCCGTCTGCCATGAACCCTACAGAAACCTACGTGTTAGTTTTGGCCCATAGTGGACAACGGGCCTTTTGTAACTGTCTCCTGCTCTTCCTCAGTCAATGCCTCCTCCTCTGAGTAGTCAACCTCATCCTCTTCCTCAATCACTGCCTGTGGATCCTCATCATCTCACAGGTCTGAGTCTCCCTCAATGATTCTGTTCACATTTCTCTCTGCCTCGGTTAGTGAGCTGCCTCCATTTGTGTTGTGTAAAATGGAGGAAATAAAAAGTTAGCAAATCCCCATGTCCTCCTCAGAGGACATTCATAAAAACATTTAGTTGTAGGTCAAATAATTATTACACTGCTCTGAAACTCACTACACTAACTCCTAAGATGTTCCCTTACTATAATGAATTAAAGATATTGAACTCACAACACTGGTAATTACAAAATTACAAACTTACCATTTATCTTTCTACAAATAGTGCTTGTGTTGATGGACGCCATTTTGAAATACAATGAAATTATCTTTTTCAAAGCCACACCCCCGCATATGTCATATGTCTGAAAAGCCCAGGATGTCCTCTGTGGAGTACAATTGGACTTAATGCTGTGGCATATCACCTCAAAGTAATGGACCAAACCCCAATGTGCACCACAGAGGACAACATTTAATGGGTGGGTCTCTGGAAGATTTATACAACCGTTATGATGATTATTGTCGTTACTATTACTATTATTATTATTATTATTATTATTATTATTATTATTATTATTATTATTATTGTTGTTATTATTATTATTATTATTATTATTATTGTTAATATTATTTTTATTATTATTGTTGTTGTTCTTTTTATCATTATTATTATTGTTGTTGTTTTTATTATTGTTATCATTATAAGTAGTAGTAGCATCCGTATTTGTAGTTGTAGAACTAGTAGCCTATAGTACAAGTATTTATATTATTATTTATATTATTAGTATAATTATTTTAATAAAGCTGCATATGCATCATGGCAGAACTTGACACTGTATCCGGTCCGGAGTATTCACCTCTAGTGAAGCTAATATTGACAGAGTTAGGCTGAGTTTCAGAGGCGTGTACACATTCAGGAACATTTTAGAATCTCTCTAATCATAGAGGCTCCTCTGCGTCTCCTCCATCTACAGCGAGCATCCGTCACGTGACTCCACGTCCACCAATGGCGTCGCGGCAGTGTAACTTTAGCGATAAGAGAAGCGCAGTAAAGGGCGAGTGGACGGAAGGAGTTCACTGTGAGATCTCCATGGTCCTCCTCACACACTCAGCCTAACAGCGGCCCTTCTGGCTCCAGCAGCACACACTCTGAGCATCCGGACTATCTGTGTGTTCATCGGTCTCAGGAGCAGGCTGCACTCCTCCAGCAGGTCTCAGATCAGATCCTCCCTGCCCGGCTGCTGTCTGCTCTCATGTTGGGAGACAAGGCTCACGGTAAGGCTGTCTACTGATCTGCACTCACAGCGTTCAAATACTATGGATACATATTGTATTTGTTTTTGACAGTCAATTAACCAATTGAAATCCAATATATTTAGGTAAGTGTTTAAATCCGGGGCTAAATGTGGCCTGAACAAATATAGTCAAATTTAGGGGCATCACGACTAAATGGCTGCTTATTTTTTTAGGAAGAACTGTCTTAAAACGAAATGACAGCCGTTTTAAATAGCCACGTTTCCGCCCCATTAAAAAAAAATGCTAAAGCTGAACCAAACAATCAAGTGAGAACAGCTGTTTAAAATAACACAAATAATTAAAAAAGTACAACACAAAGGTACAATGTTACTTTCACAAAAGCAATAACATAAACAAAAGACAATAATGACTAGTAGCCTAGTCGCATTAATTGAACTTGAAATTTAATAAATAGAATATTGCTTTAAGAATGCTAGTTAAAACTAAATAAATCAATAATAATACTCTTTCCAGAGTTTAAGTCCGGGCTGTTCCTGGTACCGCGCGATACCGCTCGAAGCGCGCGTGCCCCTTGGACTGCATGACCGGGCGCGAGACGGCCTCTCAGCTGCCGCTTTTCACTCACCTCCTCCCGTTTATTCAGGTCAATTCACATCTTTATGTCACTGTCCTGTGCAGTTGGCAGCAGTCAACTATTTAAAACAATACTTTTGTATATAATAATTCACACCGCGCACTGAGGCAGTGCACGCGCCGTCCAGCTGCTTTATCATTATATTAAAATCATATTTATTACCGTGTCGGCTCAAATACTGAGTGAGGGATTCATGTGTTACACTGTTCCCTCATGTGGCAGCTACAACTTCAACAGAGAATCCGTGCAGGTTCAAATCCTCAGTTACACTTTGGCCATATCTGATAGGCCTACTCTGGAGAATAAATCCAACCGAAAGAAAATGCGTGCATGGAGCAGTTCTGCCGAAGAAGTAATAGTCTGCATTTATTATTGTTCTATTGGTGGTTATTAGTGGATATATACATCTATTTATTTAACACTTGTTTCAGTTCATGGACAAGCAAATGTTATGCTTCATCATTCCGTAGGTCTTTATATATTTATTATTCATATATTTATATATGTTAATAGTTTACAATATCGTAGTCTATTTACGATGAATGCGCACACTTAAACAGGCTGATTATGATTAAATAATGTGGGAACACTTCCTACATCAATATGTAGCCTATATTCGTTTTTAGTTTAATTAATATATTGATAGCCTAGGTTTTGAGTAACGTATTGATTTATTGGTTTCTATTCAGGATTGTAATTAGGCCTTATTACAAAAACAAAACAATTATTATAACAAAACCTACCCTACACACAGTAGGCTATATTGCATTTCAGATTTTTTTAATTGAAGTCTAAATATTATAATTTCGATCAAATAGGCACATAAATAAATACATTGTATTTTGCGTTTAAGTTCTAGGGAATTTTGAAAAAATATATCAGTTTAAGTTTATTTAAAAATATATTTTTATTTTCTTATTGGTTTCGTATATTTGTGTCAGAATAATTTGCATTAAATGTCAAAGTACGACAGCAACAACACGGAAGCCTAAATGAAACATAAATCACTAAGAAATAAAACCAAGTTTCGGAGAGGAAGACGAAAAGAGACGGCGCGTTATTCGTTTTCGCGTAATTAAACAACACACCCTTGAAACACGATCAGATGAAATACCATCCCATAATTCACATTTGGAATACCATTTATTCCTTTTCAACATTTTCCTACCGACATAAAATCCTGCATGCTGTATTAGAATGTATCACTCATTGTGGCGCGTTGCATTTGGTGTGTGTGTGTGTGTGTGTGTGTGTGTGTGTGTGTGTGTGTGTGTGTGTGTGTGTGTGTGTGTGTGTGTGTGTGTGTGTGTTTAGGTGTCACTTTGAAGGTTATGGAGTACACATATGATGATGACCTGGAGGAGCTGTGTCCTGTGTGTGGAGACAAAGTGTCCGGATACCACTACGGCCTGCTCACCTGCGAGAGCTGCAAGGTAACAGAAACACTGAGGTGAATGATAATATCATCACTTAATAAAACATGATCACAGCAAACTGTTTACAGTTCATATATATATATAGTGGAATTACAAATAATGTATCTTTGTTTTAAATGTTACTTAAAATATGAATGTGAATTAGAAAAATGCAAGATTACTATTAGCTAAATAATGGTCATTGCTTTTACGCACACCATGCCTTTATGGAGGTATATCATCAGCCGTGACGTGTTGGCTTTATGAAATGATGAACACGTGTTGGTCAATGTCTCCCCCCCCCCCCCCCCCCCCCCTCCTCTCAGGGATTCTTCAAGAGGACAGTGCAGAACAACAAGAGGTACACATGCGCGGAGAACCAGGAGTGTAAAATCGACAAAACCCAGAGGAAGAGGTGTCCCTTCTGCCGCTTCCAGAAGTGCCTCAACGTCGGGATGCGGCTAGAAGGTACACATGAATATACCACCCGATATTCAAATACACCATGACTATAATAATAATAATACTAATAATAATAATAATGATAATGATAATAATAATAATAACAATAATAATAATAGTAATAATAATAATACTGTCACTATATCAATACAATGCTTTTATTTAGGGGAATAATAAAACCAGGCTTTATATTTATTTCCATGTCTTCTTCACTGCATTTTAGTTACAACAATAATTCCAATAATGTAAACTCTTTTAACATTCTAATTATAACCTTTTAAATATTTCCTGATTTGTGGGCTCTCATATTATTTTCTCTACTCATGGGATGGGATTAATTCCCAGACAGCGGTGCAGGAAAGCACCTGCTTCCGCAGCAGAAAAAGGACACATTCTTAACTTGCTGATAAAGCCCCAGAGACTCCCCTGTTTTAAATCAAAAGCTCTATTTAGACTACAGGGAGGAGCAGAGCTGCAGATTCTTCTCAGCCCTATACATGGAAGTATGAATGAGCAACATGTTTTTATTTACTCTGCAGCGACAGCACAGACATTCTGGTCAAATTCTAGGTGTTTACTCTGCTGTAGAAACATTCAGAAGTGTTTCATCTGTAAATCTGTTCTTCACCTTTTGTGTGACAGCGGTGCGCGCAGACCGCATGCGTGGGGGCAGGAATAAATTTGGCCCCATGTACAAGAGAGACAGGGCCTTGAAGCAGCAGAAGAAAGCTTTGATACGATCCAGCGGCTTCAAGCTGGAGAGCGCCGCTCCTCCGCCGGCTTCTCCGCTGCAGAGTGACTACGGCTTCACCGGCACCCTGCACAGCCTGCCCACCATCTCCAAGAGCCTGTTGCCCTCCACCCCGAGCTCCATCACCCCCACAGACTACGAGGCCAACCTCTATGGACCCCCGTCCCTGGGCATGGCCATGCAGTCCCACCTGCCCCTCACCACTCAGTACCAGTACACAGCCTTCCCTGGCAGGGCGATTAAAGCCGAGTGTCCCGACTACACCAGCTCCCCTGAGTCTCTGACAGGATACCCCTACCCAGACATGTACCCCTCGGCCTCGCCTCAGCCCCCCAGCCTGCCTCCGCTGGTGCTGGAGCTGCTGCGCTGTGACCCAGACGAGCTGGTGGTGCAGAACAAGATCGTGACCCACCTGCAGCAGGAGCAGAGCGGCCGGGCCCGGCTGGACAAGCCCAGCACCTTCAGCCTCATGTGCCGCATGGCCGACCAGACTCTGTTCTCCATAGTGGAGTGGGCCCGGAGCTGCATCTTCTTCAAGGAGCTCAGGGTGAGTCACACCTCAGCCTCACACAGACACACACTCCAGCTGCTGGGGAATAGGGTCTACAGCTGCACTCCACCATTTTTTTATTTTTTTTATTTTTAATATATTTATTTGACAGGGACAGTGCACATTGATTGACGTTTCATATTATACACACTGAACAAAATTGAAACATTTACTTTTATTAAATGTATGTCAATAGATTTCACACTAGGTACGATCAAAGCAATAATATCAAGTTTAAATAAAAAAAGATTAGGTTCAACTTCAAATGATTGCTTTCAACTAACCTCATACAGTGAAATGAGTTGCCATAATACATGGAATTCAAATCAATGCATCATATGCACTGCTTTGGAAAAGATAGAAGGACCAAGTCGCACATGATGAAGTGTTGGCTCTGCACTGATGCTATCCTCGCTCATTACGGCAAACATGTCCATTTGTTTGGTTCCTTTTGTTCTTTCCTCTCACTTTCTTTGCATCACTCTTTCTCCGGCTCACCTTAGATATCATGGCCCTCATTACAATAACAACAAATGTGTGCAATGTTTGAATAAATCAACTGGTTTGGGAGTGGAAGGATCAGAATGATGACAGTGTGATTCCTCGTGAGCCTGTCTGCTCTAAGAGACCTCTTTGCTCTGATTAGTGATCATATCACAATGATCATAACATCTGTCCATTTGTTTTAGGAATCACAACTGAGAGGTGAACTTCAGAAAGATTGAACCCAGAGAGCTGTCAGAATGAAGCTGGGCGTTCTAACACACCTTTAGAGCAGCGGCACTCTCCTGTGAGCGTGGAGAATCAGAAACAATAGGCTGAATAGAAACACACATTGTAGTAATTCCCCCGCTCATAGATTGCCTCAAATTGTATAAATATATGAAATTCACCGACATTGTCAAGATAGTCAAACTCTTAACTAATGCATTTAAAACAACTTTATTTCTGATGGTCATTCAAAGTTCATTCAAAGTGTTTTTACATTATGCCTCTACATGACAAATGTTGTACTTTTGATTCCATTACACGTATTTGACATAGGTACTAGTAGACTTAGGTTGTTATTAGAAAATAGAACCCAACACACGTTAGGTCATATAAACAGAGGTCAGATACCCCATTAGCCAATCAATGAAGGCAAATCATCTCAGCTGTTACCACGTGCAACATCGAAATGATCAACACAGAAATGCACCAATTATGTTTATAAAATAATAAAAAGGTGTTAAAAATGACTATTTTGCATTATGAGTTTAATATGGAAGTATTTTGAAGTGCTAACACTTTTTTACTTTGACTTACAATTTTGAATGAGGACTTTGCCTTGTGACTGAGTATTTTGACACTGTAGGATTGCTACTTTCACCCAAGTAAAGGATCTGAGTACTCCTTGAAACGCTGACAATGAGGTCATTGCTTTTCATATCAAAAAAAGTCTGAAATGGTATGTTTGAATAATGCAAATCAATGCTTCATCCAATGCTAACTTGAATTAAAAAAAGAAACAAATGGGCAAAGTAAAACACCTGACTGAGTGTTTGGGATGTTGCCTTTGCACTGAAAGAGACATGATATGGAATCAAACTAACAATCACAACCGACCATTTGTAGATATATATTGAGTTGCATTTATGTAGCACCTTTGTAGCATTCCAACCACTCTTAGCCACTGGAATGGCAGTGCTGCCACGCTGATCTTGTGAATAATGGACGATCCACCCTTCCTCCTAGCCACTGCCGACGCACAGTGTGCAAACAAGCATGTTTAGTGTCTCGCAAGCTCTGCAAAAAGATGTAGCTGCACTAAGAGAAGAAAAAGAGAAATGAAGCTTCACGATCTTACAAGATTGCATCATGTGTGATCTTTCTGCAACAGGAGATGCCAGCATCGTCTGGATGTAGTGAGCTGCACACAGTTACAGTGCTGAGGGGGCTGTGTTCCCTCAGTCCCCACAGTAGCTGTCCTCACAGACACATGTGGTTTAATGAGGGGACATGCATCAGTGTCCCGCTCCTCCGCAGCCAGCGTCTGTCTGTGAGCCGTCCCACACACACATGTACATACTTCTCATGACTCAGTCACTCAGCCAGATTGATGTCCCACGCTGGGGGAATCGATACAGTTGTTTAGGTTCTGGCTGGGGGTGCAGGAGTGGGGTTATAATTATTATATGACAAATCAGATCAGCCGGTTTCACAACAATGAAGAAAATATGACCTCATTCTCTGAGTCATCATATAATGTGCTGACGAGCAAACATCTGTCGACAAGCCAGACAGAATCAACAGATGACATGAACTAAAGGTTGGTTCTGGCCTTGGTGAGATGTGAGATTCCTCTCTGACTTCTGATCAGTTTATAACTCACGTCCATACCAAAAAACATATTTAAGCATATGTATGTGTATGTATGTACATATGTATGTATTGTTCGGGGGGGGACTGAAACGTTGTCTTTAATTAAATCTATTATGTCAACAAATTTCCCATTTATTTAAACGTAATATTATTTATTTCCACTAACCTAATAGAGTCATGTGAAATCTGTTGACAAAATACATTTCATTAAAGTCAACGTTTCAGTGTGCTCAGTGTGCTCAGTGTTCCCTTCCTGCTTCACACACAGTCACTGGTCCCTGGGACCGCCTCAGGCTTACGTTTAGCGTACATGTTTAGAATCTGAGCATGATCACTTGTCAATGTGCAGGCCTTCCTCGGTGTTCTGTTTGGATTCTGTGCTTGCACCAAACAGCAGCAACAGATCCAAGCGTCTTTGTCTAGCTGGATTTGTAAATGATGTGTGAAGTGGCACTACATTATGGCATTACATCTAGTCATATGAAAAGATTAAAACACCCCCAATTACAAAATAAATCAACACAAAAAAAGATTGGAAACATCGGTGCATCATGGCATTTTGTGTATAATAAATGATAGTCTTATCATAATCTGAATTTGCAACACATGTGACATTGAATCTGCTCTCAGTGTCCAAATACCAAACCTCAAATATGAAAATGAACGAAGGTGATGACTGAATTCTTAGTTCCTGAGAACTAGCAGCTGAAGCATTTGCTGTCACTGTAACCTCCCTCGTCTCAGAAACAAAGAGCACATTGTGGTTGTAACTTCTCCAACAACAAGGTGTCTCTACACTCCCTGTGCAGACTGCTGTCATGCTGCCATGCATTTATTTGTCATTTGAGAAACGTTTTAGAAATAGCTATAATCACTATTCCATGCATATCAGAGCCTCACGCTGTCTAACTGTTTGTCCTGCAGTTGATGAGCGGAAGCTATACCACACACATCTGAGTCTTTGCTCACACACACTGAACACACTGAAAGTGCATTCAATGTATTATTATTATTATTATTATCTAGCAGATTTCACATAACTGTATTAGGTCAGCTGAAAGCAATTATATTAAGTTGAACCTTGTATTTTTGATTGAAACTTCATATTATTGCTTTCAACAAATGAAATAAAAGTCAAAGTGTAATGTTTGTATGTGCAGTCTCAGTGCACCCCCTTAATACATTCATTGTCATACATGTAGGCCACACATATCTGAACCCACAGCTAAAGGCATGCGTCTGCAGTGTAGATGGTCTGCTGCTCTATGTTATGCTCCCATCGTACACTGAGTCTATTATAATGTCTATGGGTGTCATATGAACACGTACAATGACGTTGTTCTTTTCTGTTGACTACACTGTTTTTTTAATGATGGTAACATTCACAGTCATTTGAAACTGGGACCATCACCATTCCCTTGCTTTGAGTGCCATGCCTTAACATAACCCTCACAGTCCATGTAAACATTTATAAAAAAACACATACTTTTAAAATACTTAAAATTGTCAAAACTCAAGACATGGTGTTTCTCAAGGATGGTACAGAGGAGGTATGAATGTGGCTTTCTGTCAAACACCTTGAAAGCTCTCTGGAACAGCTGTTCTATGGGTTTCAGGTTTGTGGCACAAGCAAACGACCAGTTTGTCAAACAGTATTCAATGTGGGATAGAATCATACAGTGGGGGTCTGACTTTGCAGCATCGACAGTTAAGAAAGGTCTAATTTGTTTAAAATGTTGCAAGTTGAATTTAATTGTATTTGATACTTTTTTAATATGTTTGTTAAAAGTCAAGTTTGAGTCCATTATGACTCCAAGATACTTGAAGTGAGAGACTAGTTCTATTTCTGCTCCGTTTAAAAACACATTGGATCCTTCGATTTTGACTGGTCGTTTACTGAACATCATGCATACTGTTTTCTTTGCATTTAACTGTAAGCAAATGTTGTTCAGCCAGTGTTGAACCTTGTCCAAAGCATTAGAGAGACAGGATGAGATCATTTCAGTGTTTTTCCCATGTACAAAGATGACCGCATCATCGACATACATTTGCACATTAATTTACAGTACACATTTGAAATAGCTGATTTAGTTCTGATATACATACCAAAGTGTGCATTTAATATATCAAATGTAGGTTCATATTTCTTCCCAAGTAGGAACACCATATTACAGAATAAAGTGATATTTATTTTAATAATGAATTATAGGAAAACACAGACTATTGTAGAATTTGCTGCGAAAGATACACAGACACATATGTCCTGTTTCTTTTTTGTAGTGCACAGTTGTTCTGACATAACAACTGTGCAGCCTGGTTTGGTTCACATGTGGTGTGTTCATGTGCAGTGGACAGAAAACATGGACAGTGAAGCTAAGCTGTGCATATTTGGCAGAGGAAACTGCTCACAAAGCTGTTTCCCTGGGCTGGATAATTACATTCCATGCAGGCGATAACGCTGAAATGTCTTCTCCTCTGCTCCGCTCTCGCCACGCACAGATACATTGTTGCTAAATTGTGAGCAGAATTGAAGCCATTGATTTGTGCAGCTCCCCAGAGGTGGGCTTTGTCGTGCCTTGTGTTTGACCTTCATTCACCTGTTGAACATGGAGGCTGTTGCAGAGGAAGTGCACACAAACAACATCATACATGTTCAGTTACTAAAGGCAGTATACACCTCATTTCAAAGTCATGTGTCATACAGTAGCAGGTTTGAAATGTTATGTCATTGATTGTAAATAAACATACACTATTTAAAATTGAAGGAACTTGAAAATGAATGATCATCTCTTTAGATATAAAGGTTTGTTTTACCTGTGTGCTTATTGAATCATTCCCAGTGTCATTCTTACATTGTATTATTTAAGCAGCTGATATGAAACCACAATGGTCTTAAAATGGAGTACTAGACCAGGACCAGCCAAGTCCAGAGAAAATATAGTCATGGTAAAGAATGTAATAAGTTGGAATATGCTAAAGGAACATTTAGCGAAGTTAAAGTTTATAACTGTCTCATAATATTTAATCATTTGTAGGCACGTGGCCAAAACACTGAACTCAGGCCTGCTGTCTTTAGCTGTTGAAGCTAGTGGATTGTGACTGTCAGTAACAGGCACAACAACACACCCTTAATGTGCCAGGAAGAATAGCATGTGCTCATGCTAGTGCTAATGGAGGTCCTAATAAAGACACACGTTAGCGGTCAATGTCTATATTATACTCTCCCACGTAAGCACAATAAAAAAGTGTCATCAAGTACTGTAGTGAAGGAAGTCGTTTCATTATTATATAAGAAGCTCTATTTTTCATATTTTTAACTTCACACATGTAAACATGTGATAAGGTTTAAAGGTTTCTCAGTCATGTTAAATCACATTAACATGATTCTTTGTAAGGAAACAAAGGTCTATAAAACAAAATGACCACATGAATTAGTCTACACAAATATATAAATGTATTTTGACTAAGAATGTATTATTCAAGGGGGGCCGTGCATTTTTTAAAGGTCAGCACTTTCCTAAAGCTATTCCTGTCAACATAGTCATCAACATAAGCAATGGAAAGAAAGGGATGAAAACAACAGCGTAAGCCTTTAAAAGAAAATGACCAACGCTTTTCTCAACTGTACTCTGTGCCTTCATCCTGCTGACAGGACTACCATGCACACATTTGATTTCCTGTAACAATCTCACAGATTTTGGCTTCATGGCTGTGAGATCAAATGTGGCTTTCCCGAGTAAAACATGACACTTGACAGGTATATAACCTAAAACCTCAGCCTAACCTAGTTCCACGCTCTGACATGGACAGACATAAATCTCCTCTGTGTTCTCAGGGGTTCAGAGGGATTTCTGGCTGCAGCTGAGTGTCCAGCTCCTCTTAGAGAGGAAGCACAGGAGGTCACCAAGACCTCTTGCTTCCTTAACCCCTTCCTTTATCACTGTACACCCCCCCACTGAACCAGTTCAGATGTGTCCAACAAGATTGGAGCGTCTCCTCTGCGACAGATATATAGTTTCATTCAGACGGACAGTAATTCTGTCAGCTCGGTGTCAGATGGATGTGTGTCTGGGCCTATTAGCAGCTGCGGCTGCAGAATTACTCTCCGTCGTGTCCTTCACTTCACAGACAATATTGCAACAGGGGGGGGGGCTTAATCTGAAAACACAACCATTCCCCAGAGCAGAGCAGATGTGACTGGGAGGTGTGTGTGTGTGTGTGTGTGTGTGTGTGTGTGTGTGGTGTGTGTGTGTGTGTGTGTGTGTGTGTGTGTGTGTGTGTGTGTGTGTGGTGTGTGTGTGTGTGTGTGTGTGTGTGTGTGTGTGTGTGGGGTGTGGGGGGGGGTAGAGGTGAGCAGGTTGAAGCACTCTCAGACGATGCACGTAATTACACAACACCGGACACACACACACACACGCACATACACAAACACACACACCAGCATCAACACACATATTTCCTTAAATTCTCTTCCCCCAATTTATTCACTTTATCTTTTTTTCTCACCTATTTTCAGCTTTCAAAGAATATTGGTTAGGATTATTAAAACAGCAACAGTGTGTATGTACATGGTGAACTTCAGGCTTTAACATTATTCGACACGGTGAATCATCAGATCCTCCTTCACACTCTCCAAGAACTTGGAGTTTCAGGCTCTGCACTTTCCCTCCTCACCTCATACCTCAAAGACCGTACCTACAGGGTGACTTGGAGAGGGTCCGAGTCCGACTCTTGTAAATTAACTACAGGGGTCCCTCAGGGCTCTGTTCTTGGTCCCCTCCTCTTCTCCCTGTACACAAACTCGCTCGGATCAGTCATTAGCCCGCATGGTTTTTCTTACCACTGCTACGCTGACGACACCCAATTAATTCTGTCCTTTCCCCGCTCAGAGACCCAGGTCGTCGCACGCATCTCTGCTTGTCTAGCTGACATCTCTCAGTGGATGTCTGCTCATCACCTCAAGCTCAACCTTGACAAGACTGAGCTGCTCTTCCTTCCGGGAAAAGATTGTCCCACTCTTGACCTAACAATCAACATCGGCACCTCTGTTGTTTCCCCGACTCAGACTGCAAGGAATCTGGGTGTGATCCTAGATAACAATCTGTCCTTCACTGCAAACATCGCTGCTACAACCCGTTGCTGCAGATACACGCTTTACAACATCAGGAAGATACGTCCCCAGCTGACACAGAAAGCCACGCAGGTTCTGATCCAGGCTCTCGTCATCTCACGCCGAGACTACTGCAACTCCCTCCTGGCTGGTCTACCTGCATGTGCCATCCGACCTCTGCAGCTCACCCAGAATGCAGCGGCTCGTCTGGTCTTCAACCTTCCTAAATTCTCCAACACCACTCCGCTCCTCCGCTCCCTTCACTGGCTTCCAGTAACTGCTAGAATCCACTTCAAGACACTGGTACTTGCATACCATGCTGCAAATGGATCTGGCCCTTCCTACATCCAGGACATGGTTAAACCGTACACCCCAGCGCGTGCACTACGCTCTGCATCAGCCAAACGACTCGCTGCACCCTCGCTCCGAGGGGGACCCAAGTTCCCATCAGCAAAAACATGTGGGTTTGCTATCCTGGCTCCAAGATGGTGGAATGAGCTCCCCATTGACATCAGGACAGCAGATAGCCTGCACATCTTCCGGCGCAGACTGAAAACTCATCTCTTTCGACTCCACTTCGAGCGATAGAACTATTAACAAAGCACTTATATACTAACAAAGGACTGGCTTATCTAAAGCCAGTTGAGTAGCAGTTGAAATGTTTTAGCTCTATGAAACCTGGTGTACTTATATTATTCTGTTTTCTTCAAGGTTGTATCTTCTTGGTGAAACGCACTTATTGTAAGTCGCTTTGGATAAAAGCTTCAGCTAAATGCAATGTAATGTAACATAATGTATCGTCTCTCTGTCTCTGTGTTTATCTCTGTGTCTTTCTCTGTGTTTCCTGTAGGTGGGAGATCAAATGAAGCTGCTCCATAACTGCTGGTCTGAACTTCTGGTCCTCGATCACATTTTCAGACAAGTGCAACATGGACAGGAAGACAGCATCCTGCTGGTGACCGGCCAGGAGGTAACAACCCCCTGACACACACACACCTTCCTCTCAGCACACACTCGTATACCTGCCCTGCACTGCATTCAACATGTGGTCACTCTGGCTCTCCTCTGGTCTCTGGACTGCAGTGTGTCATTGTTTCAACCAGCTTTAACACCAGATGAATGAAGGACCTTTTTCGTGTGACAATTTACAGTCACATGTAAGGCTTGAAGGTTGATAATGCTGCCATATTTATAGTTGAGCCATGGATGGTCGTTTCTTTGAGCCTTAAAACTAAAACACATTTGGTTATTTTGAATGCCATGTAAAATGTATACATAGACTGTTTCCTCCAAAAAGGTGTGTGTTTTCTCAGATGAAAGGTACATTGTTTTCCGAGTAGCCCTGTAAGTAGGGATGGGTATCGTTAAGGTTTTAACGGTACTACTACTTTTATCGATACCGCTTATCGGTCCGGTCTTTTAACAGTAGGCTCTTATCTGTTCTTTTGGAGAAAAAAACAAGGTAAACTAACTAAGCAAATTGTGAACAAAACTAACATTGCTTTTTATTTAAATTAAATAAATAATATTTCACATCAAAAGAAACAATGTTTTAACAAATGGTATTAAATAATCTGATGACAGAACTGTAAACAGAATAGCTGAAACTTTAACTAAATAAATAAATCAGTTACCTCTAATCATTAATCTGCACTACTCATCAACTCAAAAACACCAGATTACCTTTGTTAATTAAACGACATTGATAGGTTTAAATTATGTGCAATGCTTTTGTGTTTTTCCCCTTCAATTTTGAGAAACAACTTGTTTTCTCTGAAATGTGGAGATATCACTGTCAAATCAATCGACAGTAAGGGGAATACTTACTCCCGGGTGTACAATTCTCCGTTATCCAATGAGAATGGACGCTCACATTGCCTTTAAGAGCTGCCGACATAAACGGGTGCGGTGCTTCCATGAGCGTCAAATACCGCCGCAGATGGGAATACATTGCAATCAGTTGAAAGCTCTTTGCGTCCCTTTATGAAGCTGAAGGAGCCTCGGCGCGTCCCAACTGCACGCCACGGGACCCTGACCAAGCGTCGCTCCTGGACGTTCAGGGAGTGAGAGTGTGTTGCCCAAGCAGGCGGGGGAGAGAGAGAGATCTCTCGACTGGATTGGAAAGATCGAAAATACTAAAAATAATCATAGATGCATTTTGCAGTCTTTTTGCGTATTAGAAACGGAGTTGGCAAAGCTAAAACTGCAATATAATGTTTGTGTAGCAATAATACATATGAAATATTTTTTACATGTCTCCAGTACCGATAAGAAGACCGCTAACGTCGGAGCTTAACGGTACCACGGTCTTTAATAATTCAGCCCCGGGGCCCGTTTAATACCGGGGCTCGGTACCCATCCCTACCTGTAAGGCATGGTGACCCACCGCACCTCATTGGAAGCAACTGTGGAATGCATTAAAGCAGTTTAAATTAAGAATAGATTTTCATTCATTTGTGCACAAAATCAAGTGTAAGTGTTCCGTGCTTCTGTGGTCCACAAGCAGCCTGTGCTCCTCTGACAAAGCTCTGTCAGCAGGTCAGCCTTCAGCTGGAGCCGCCTGCATACGGCCAGACAGTCAAATGGGTGAAATGAGGAGACATTTAATAATGTTATCAAAGATTTGATGTAACTTTACATAGGATAATAATAACAATCTTCTTTTCATAACCTTATTGACACTTGTAAGGAGCAGGCCACGTCTTTCAGTTTTTGTGTTTCCCATATACATCTAAAATGTATATATATATTTATATATATATACAAAATGTATATATATATATAGATATACATTTTAGATGAATGTGTTTCAGGTTTGAATGATTTACCAGCAAACATTATATTAAAAAGGTTAATACAGTCGATATTCATTTATCAACACATTTGACACACTGCACAGTATTATTGGTAAAAATAAACGGCCGTTTTTCTGTTCTTACTGTGTGTTAGGGGTACAGTACTGATATGTGTACGTGTTTGACATTGGAATACATACTTTAGGCCGGTAGGATTTCAGACTTCTTATTATATGGACGACTGTGACACAGGGGTGAATTAAGCATCCCATAAGAGGGTCAGCGGCTCAACTTGTCAAAGAGTCCTTGGGCAAGATCCTGAATCCCAAATTGCTCCTTTAGGCTTGTCTACGTTATTGAAGCGCATCTACATAAATAACATGTTATGTACTTTTTGAAATATTTGGAAGCAGTTTTCTAATGAAAAGGTTAAAGGGAGTAGAGGTCCTCCATGGAGGGCAGCTCCGTCCTGTTGTGGAGGCTGAGGGCGACCTGTTGCTCTGTAGGCAAACTGCAGGGGGTCTAGAGAGTCAGGGAGGGAGGGGGTGATGAATGTCGGTGTCCAGTGACAACAGAGCCAGCCAACCAATCAGAGCAGACTGGGCTCTGGTTTCAGACAGAGGGTGAAAAGAGGTGCTGCAGGGCTTCACCGGCTGCACCTCCTGACTCTAACCAGTTCTCTGTTTTCAGGTGGAGCTGTCGTTCGTCCTGTCCCAGGCGGAGGCCACGCTGTCGGGGCTGGTGCAGCGGGGGCAGGAGCTGGCGGCCCGGCTGAGGGCCCTGCAGCTGGACCGCAGAGAGACCGCCTGCATGAAGTTCCTGCTCCTCTTCAATCCCAGTGAGTCCGCCTCAAGGTCCTGCATCAGCATGCAGATGCTTTGGCCAGAGAAAAGTGTCAAATGAAAAAAAAAAAAAAAATGACTTCTGTTCACTCATAATCAGAAAATACAGGTTTATCCCTGCTCAAGCCTCGGGACAGGTTTGACAGGCTTAAACAGAGCAGCCTTCGTATTCCATATGCAGTATAAGAGTCTCTTATTATACTTTAGTATTAGTACGAGTAAATGAATGTCTTTGAACGACAACGTGCCTTTGGATTGTGTGTTTCTGGAAGAATGCCGTGATTTATTGTGAAAATCAATCATCTTGCAGGGTTGCAGCCAGGGCCATACTGATGCAGTGCTTTGGCGGAATTTCAATAGCAACATTGACATTTTAATGAAAACATTTCACAATTGCAGATTATCTGCAATACCTACCTACGTATATCTGTAAGGTTACAGACATCCACATTAGCCTTTTTACCTCCAATAAATTCACTTAATTAAATTTCTAGGGTTGACAAAAGCCAACATTAACAAAGACATCCTCCTCCATTGTCCACTAATGGCATTCAAAAGAAGCGTAATGGATGGGTCTATCATTCGATGGCAGAGCCGACATTCATGTTGCGGCTTGTGCAGATGGAGAGAGCGTAGACGCGCCTCCCCAGATTCTCAAAAGTGTTTGCTGTGTAGCGCTGGCAAGCGGGGAACAAAGAGCTTTTCAATGGGGAGAGCACTTGTCATAGACAGAACATATTTGCTGTGTTTGCCTGCGGCTTCTCTGCTCGCACTCTCGCACTCCCTCATCTTCAGAGTCAGGTTTGTCGGGGGTAATTTAATTGCCCTTAAGCAGTTTGAAAAGATGATTCAGAACATTTAATTACTGTGTGAATGGATTCTCCAAGATGTGCTCAGCTGATGCTGAATGGTCCACAGAAGGGCTTGGCTATTGTCTCTCTCTCTCTCTCTCTCTCTCTCGCTCTCTCTCTCGCTCTCTCTCTCTCGCTCTCGCCTCTCTCTCATCTCTTTCTCTCTCATCTCTCCTCTCTCTCTCTCTCTCTCTCTCTCTCACATAACACCAACACACACACCACACACATCACCCACACACAGACACAGACACAGTCATTTGTTAAAGAATCAGGAAGCTAATGAGGAATATTCTAGAACAGCTTCTTACTGTCCTTTTCCTCATGGACATCTAAAAGAATCAAAACATGATTTAAAAATTAGAATACAAAAAATCAAAATAAAGATAAACATTAAAAATCAAAATCAATAACTACAAATTCTCAGTAACAATGACCTATATCCAGAGGAGTATCTAAACATTATACAATATATAGAATACAATTGAATAGTCTCTAATATGCCATTCTACTGAACATAACAACATAGTGTACTATACAATAAAACAATGTGTACAGTAGCTTGAAATATATATCTGAGGTAGTGTAAGTATGCTGTAAATTGTTCATGCGATTTACCACTGCAATCAACCAGCCATGTTACACTTGTTTTATAAATACTGATTAGTTGTTTATTTTCCCTGAATGTGTACTTCTGTCCATTTTTTGAAAAAATATTTGATTGTAAATGCTTCGGCATGCCGTTTTATCTAATAGTGTTTTTTGGGAGTTTTTTTTCCTCTCTAACTATACTGCTGTAACAATGTACATTTCCTTCTGTGGGATGAATAAAGGAATTCCAATTCTGATACTGAACAAATGATGAAACCAATTTAGTAGCAAATATATCGTCACCCTCCCAAACCTGTTCATAGAAGATAAAAAGCCTTTATTGTCATTTTACAAATATACAACAAGACTTTTGGAGTGCAACCCTGTCAAAGTGCAACGTGACCAGTAGGGCAAACACATGTCAACAATAATAAGGGGGTAATACATCATTAAGAGCAGTGGCGTGAAAAGCTATACAGTGCATTAAATGATGCATGTTGTCCTGTGTGTGCAGATGTCAAGCTGCTGGAGGACCAGGCCTTCGTGGAGGGGGTGCAGGAGCAGGTGAACGGTGCTCTGCTGGAGTACACCCTGTCCACCTACCCTCAGTTCCAGGAGAAGTTCAGCCAGCTGGTGGTGCGTCTGCCGGAGCTGCGCGGCCTCAGCACGCAGGCGGAGGACTTCCTGTGCTACATGCACCTGAGCGGAGAGGTGCCCTGCAACAACCTGCTCATCGAGATGCTGCACGCCAAGAGAGCCTGTGTGTGAGGGACACACACGTTCCTCCGTCATGTGTTGTTTGTGTAGGTGAGAGTGTGTGTGTGGGAGGGAAAGTGTGTGTGAGAGGAAACAATCAGATGAAGATAGACAGGCTATGTTGGGCCATCTTTGTGAGGCCTTTTGTTTGAGCTGGAGAGGAGAACATGTTCTTTGGTGTTTGGAATTATAAAGCTCCATCCATACTCAAGGTCGTTTGAATATTTTGAGGGTTACGTTTCACCCTGCAGAGCTACATTCCTTTATAAACTGGATTTTCTACCCTGTTTTCAAAAATCAAAAATTAGAACTGCCTTTAAAGTTATATTCAATGACCAAATATCACATCCAGCATCAGAACACAGATGTTCTACGTTCCGCAGAGCTGCCCAGCAAATATTCAGACTCAATCAAATAATGCTAAACACTCATGAAGACATAGTGTCCAGATATCTGTCTATCATTCTGAAACATCCACATCTTCATATCATTGTGATATCAATACAAACGGTTGGGTCCCATATTTATATAAAGGACGTCTATAGGGTCATCTGGTGCGAGGGCTGCTCTGATGTGCACTTTCCCAACAGATTTTGTATCCTCTTTTCAGAAATTTGAATTTAGCATTAATTGATTTTTATCCAAATGTCAGACCCAACTTGGAAGATTATAAAGTGCACTCTTCCTAGATAATCATTATATATTTTTTAGATGAAAACACTGTGGTGTTCTCAGATTACTGATCGTATCTCTACCCTTTTTTAACACCAACAAATAAGAGAGCTCTATGGGGTTTAATACAGCTTTATTTTAATCTATTTAGTAATATATTGATATAGAGAAGCCAGAAATGTTAAGAAAAACTCATTTTTATTCAGTTATTCATCAAACCCTTACCAGGAAAGATAACATGACAACAATACAGATAAGGAAGAAGGACACAGGCAGAGAAAGGGTCAAAAGCAAACAAGAAGGAGTTCAAACTGTTCACAGCGATGTTTTCAGATGAAGGAGAGCAGGGAGTAGGTGGCAAAACATAAGCACATACAGTAGGTGGCAAAACATAAGCATATACATGTGAATGATAATGGAGAGATGAACGAAACTGCTTTTCTCTTTCTTTGAGCAAAGACTAACAAAAGGAAGCATCTGTCAGCGTGTGACTGAGGAGCAGACAAAGCCAGGGAAAAGAATCATCTGGCAACATTTGCTTTCACGTTTCCTTATAAAACATGATTTTATTATAGGCCAGTGCCTCAAGAAACAATGAGTCTTCAAAAAAGGCAGTTGTCATGTTCACACTCACATTGGTGTCACTTTTCAGCACGCGGCACTGTAGGTGTGAGACTGAATGGCCATTCTGTTCACCTCCGTCTCCAAATCAACGTTAAACAAAGTGCAGACAGCAGGCATGGAAACAGGGCGCTATGTTAGGTTGATGTGAAATATTTAAAAAGTAAACCCAATTGAACTTGAGCCAGTTTAACTTTCTTAAAATGAAACCAAACTTAACTTAGTTGCCAGAAGCACATTTTGTAAAAGAAAAATTAAATAATGTTAGCAGATACATTTATAAAAAAATCTAACAATGTTGATAAAAGACACAATTCAGGCATTTTCATTGTGCTTGAACAAAAGAGATCACACAGAAGCTTGAGAAGAGCACATTTCTGTGACGTGTGTTGATTTCAGTTTCTGTGACTCGACTTATATAACCTGACTCCACGCCAAACACATCTGGCAGCATTTCTGTGGATATTTTCAGACGTTTGATGCAGGTAGCTAACAGGATGTGTCTCAGTTCTCATGCCCACAGAGATCTTATCACTCCATTGTTTCTCCTCAATCTGAAGCAATTAGACGTCAGCGATGAATCACTTTCAAACTGACACTCAGGTGTTGTGATTCAGAGTATACTGAACAACTGAAACGTTAACTTAAATAAAATGTATTATGTCAACAGGTTCCAAGTAGTTGTATTAGGTTAGTTGAAAGCAAATTGAACCTAATATGTTGTATTTAAACGTAATATTATTGCTTTAAAGCTACCTAATACATATATGTGTAATTTGTTTAGAAATACATTTATTTAAGTAAACTCTCGATTTTTTTTCAGTATTCAGACACAGTATTTAATATTTGTTATATTATTTGACCAACATATTTGGTTTATTATTAAAGAAATAAACATGTCGGTCTTTAATACAAAAACGCTGTTCTTATCATCATAAGAGTCTAACCATCATGCACTGAAAAACTGAAACATTGACTAAATGTATTATGTCAACAGACTTCATATCACTGTATTTGGTCAGGGAAAGGCTTCAATAAAGAATATTAGGTTCAATTTAATATCATTGCTTTCAAATAACCTAATACAGTTATGTGAAATTCGTCGACACAATACATTTAATTAAAGTCAACGTTTCAGTTTTCAGTGTGGGTCACTAAAACTCTCCCCTGATATCTGACATATTCCTGCAGGTTGTATACATTTAAAATATGAGATAACACTTCAGGCCCTATAAGCCCCACACACACTATCAGCAGCCTGAGTTACCAGTGAAACACTATTTGCGATTTCTTGTACTATGTTGAAAACACGTGTGTCACCCTAAAGCCCCTGTCACACTGTCCCGAAATTGACACCAGATGGACACACGATAGAGGAAATGTTCAAATTCGGCTCTGATCGTAACAACATCGGGCCATTCGTGAGGGCATCTTAAGCCATCGTAAGACCACCGGTGGAGTTTCTCAGGCTCCGGCAGCAACTTCGTGAGCGGTGGCTCGAGCAGTTTTGTGTTGAATTTGTGTGTCCATGTTGCCCTTCGTAAGGCCAGCGTGAGGGCATCTTGTCAAATCGTGTCATCTTCGTCTTTACTTCGTGTGATCATCGGTGCCATCGGGCATTTTCGCTTCACGAAGACAATATGAAGGAAACAAGAAGCTGCCCAATTGTCTTAGGAAGGCAACACGACTACGTGAAGCCCTCGCAATGCCGTTGTGTAGCCATCGTATTATAGTGCGATGACATCGAGATTGCATTTATTGAACAACAAAATCATGTAAACAGATTATGTAAATAACCCAATTTGTGTTCTGTGAAACTGAAAAGGATATTACATTGTGTTTGTTACTTTCGTTGCAGTTGTGTGTCTTAAATGTAATTTAGGTTAACTTCCTGTTTTATTTAGATGCTTTTATTTTGAAGGTGAGTTTGCGCTGTTGACAGGAAGTTGTTGTTGCTATGGAAACACCATGACGGAGATAAGGAATAAGTAAAGAATAAAGTGTATGTTTAAATGTTAGCACCCCCCGAAGAGGCACAAGCTCTTACGTTGAGTCTGGATACATTCTAAATCATCAGTAAAGTCTACGACCATATTTTCCTGTGTGGTTCGGGTGCCATCGTGTGGCCTTCTGTAGGCATCGTACTTGCTCCGGCTGTTGCTTGGCTGTTGACCAACTTCGGGGCCATCTTCGTGCGAAATTCACAATTCCATATTCGTGTGTCCATCTGGTGTCAATTCCGGGACAGTGTGACAGGGGCTTAACCGAACTCCCAGATGTATGAAAAGTGTCACACTCTTTTTAAAGCACATGCCTCTCAGCGATGATACCTGTTTGAAGACCAAAGACTCGGTCTCAAGATGTTTGTGATATTGTGCAGCTCGATATTTAAAACCTTTCCTCGTTGGTCCATCTCCAGGTATCGTAGACAATCACTCCGCCTGCCTTAACTGAATGTCTGCCTGAAAGCATACACACACACCTTGGTTTTCCAGTTGAGATAGCTGTGTTATCATTATGTACAGTATATTTATGTTGTGAAGTGAATATCTACTGCAAGATGAAGATACATTTCAAACGAAAGAGTTCTACGCTTTACGTTGAGGTCAGATCGCTGCCATGTGGAAGTGATTCTCTTGATATTGCCTTTGTTTTGGCTCTTGTTCACTTTTTATTTACCTGTGAGTTGAAAGTCCCGTCTTTAGCTGAAGTGTTTTTTTCTCCCAAAAGAGAACGTGACCAAAACGTTTGTTTCTTTAAATATATTTTATTGTAATAGCACTAAACCAATAAATTCCAGTGAAGTAAGCTCCATGTGTGTGTCGACTATAATTACACAACATTCATCAGTTGTGCACAAATGATACAGAGCTCATACAACATGAATTACAGCTGTCATAGTGTGGCTGTTATTCAGCCTTGTCTGAACTATTAACATCAGAGAGCCAGTATTCACATCAGTTTCATTTTAAACATCCAACATCAGTCTTAGAAACACATCTATCAGTAAAAGCATTTCATTGTGGAACAGAATTGATTTGTTCCTCCATTGTCCATCTTCAGCATGTCTACTTGTAGAACCTGTGGATTAAGTTTGGTGGTGAAAGTGGGTGGCCCCAATTTCATTCCAAGTCGGGCCAATTCCGTTTTGCAGCTCTGATATTTGATTGGCTATCTGCTAAATATTGATGCTTATTTTAAAGAAGAAGTAACTGCAGACACCTTAAACAATGTTGATTATCTTCTTACAGGTGGGAAAGTCTGCCTTCTGAGCAAAAAATGGAGCCCACCTGTTATTGTGGAAAACCTTAACCTAACATTACAGAGAGTGGTTCTCCATGATAAAATGTCTAACTTCTAGCTCGTCAGAAAAAGGCTTTTATTTGCTTGTCGTGTGTTATTCAGAGGGAAATAGAACCTGGTCACGGACAGGATTACCAGACTTGAGGCCACAGGACAGCACCTGTAGATCAGACAGCTAATCTGCCAGCACACACACATGCCACTGAGCAGACAGAGGGCAACACAGTGTGTTTCCAGTCAGATTATCACCAGTGTTGAACTGTGAAACTGCTACAGTCCTGCTATGTTTTTTCACCTAAAAACATCACTACTGAGCACGAGTGAGATCACAATTTTGACCTTCAGAACAGGCACGTAAGGCTGACTAAGCCCAGCAGAGTCACACACACCTCAGGTGTGCTCTCACACACTCAGCATGGTGCGACAGCCCAGCCTTTCACTCAGTGCATCCTGCTGTCAGTCAGAGGGAACAATGGAGAAACACATCTGCAGTATCTAAAGCTAATGATTTAGAGAGTGTTTAAAGTAAGAGACCTGTGCTCCCTGTCTCTTCAGAATATCTGTGGGATGTGTTTCTGCCACAGCTCCACGCTCAGACTCACAGTCTCATTCAGTACTTTACAGAACCACCCAATCACAACAGGGAGACAGTAAACACAGTGTACAGGGAGGTTAACCAAACATAGTCGTCTACATCGAAAATGTTTTGAAACTGTTAGACAACACGTCATGAAACTAATTATTTTTTCATATTTGGAGCCACATGTCTTAGTTCTTTGTGCTCAGCTGGATTTACTGCTAGCTGTAGATGTATTTACATGAAACACAAAGACAGTGAGAAGGAAGCCCAGCGTTAATATTTGTCACACATAAGGGCTGGCTCATTAAGATCATTCTTAGTGTGATCTTAATGAGCCGTGTTGTTTTGGGGAAATGGGATTCACTTCAGGAATAATGTTTTAACCTCTAAGAGATCATCAATGACATGTATTATCTAAATTGAGAGGGGCTATATGTTGAGTAAAATGATCTTGTTGGAGTTTGTTCTTGGAAATGATTTGAGTTTATAAAGTAATATATTCCGAGAAATGTCTCCACATTCTTCATGACATTTTTTGTAAAGGAACCAAATGGATTGATTATACAAGGTTAGATCCATCTCATGAGCTTTTGCAGTACTTTGAAAGATTATTCCTTTTATTTGGAGAATTTAATCTCAGAGATTTTCAGATAAATCATTCACATTTACCAATTCATTATCAGAAAGTATTTTTATATTTGTTCATGAATTAGCTATTTTAAAATAACTTCAGCGAATAACACATATGTGTTATTTGGTTGAGCTAACCCTTTTAAACTTAAAACAATATGTTGTACTTTGAAGAGATCAGCTCACATGCTGAGATTCAGAGAACTGGTGATAAACATGATCATTCTTAGACAGACTTGTTGTTCTTAGTGTATGTGTATTGCTTAAATTAGAAAAGTTACGGCCACTGCTCCTACTGAAGGTGTGAGGGAGTTTCCTGCAGAGCTTGAGGACCCCCCTGGCAGACAGTCAGAGACCTAACCCCAAAATAAGGGAACATGGATCTGATCTGGGAACAGAGCAGTGACAATGTAAGAAGAAGCAATTCCACTTCTTCATCATTCCTTCCTTATTTGATTTCACTCTCCTTCTTAGCAGTGTGTGTTTGTGGCGGCAGTGCACACATCTTCAGGTTGGGGAACTGTGTGTGCGTGCGTGCGTGCGTGTGTGTGCGTGCGTGTGTTGTGCGTGCGTGTGTGTGTGTGTGTGTGTGTGTGTCCATTCTTTCAGCTTGTATCAGGATCAGTCCATTTGCAGTTCAACAAACCTGTGGTGAAATAAAGTGAATGTGTTAGCTACAACTCATCTCAAGCTGATGTTTAATTGTTTCTGCTTCAGGAGTGTGAGTGTGTTTGGTACAAAGAGAGAGGAGGAGAAAGGGGGGAGATGAAAAGGTGGTAGGGAGAGAGAGCAGGTGTTGGAGTGGTTAATGGCCGACGGCGTGAATAGCCGGCCTCGTGCGCTCCTGATTAAGGGAATGAACTTCTGCTTTGTCTCGTCGGTCAACAATGAACACCAAGCAGCACTCCAACACCAACCATCAGGCGCTCCTCCCAGACGGCTCAACATTTAATGAATCTAAAAACTTCCTTTTCCCTACTGCCAGGCAATTTAGAGCCATTGACAGTGACTTGACCCGCTGGAAGCGTGGGGACCATCTGTTGTGTTCGCCTAATCATTCACAGGAACAAAAGCCTCGGGGGCAGTTTTCACACAACCTAATGCTGAACACTGCGCAGGTAAACAGAGACCATAGGGAAAATAAAACCTTTTACTCTCTGTCCTCCAGTCAGTTTTACATTGCTTTCATTCAAGTCACTATACCTTCATGCTCTCTACACTACCCAGTGCATTTCAAATGAGTTTCATGACAGAAACATTGTATCTTCTGTTTGTCAGAATTAAGATTTTATTTAAATAATACTCATCAAAAACAGCATCATTCCAAACTGAGCCACAATGACAGAATACTTCTGCTTATTGTACAAATAATTTCAAAAACTGGAATATATAGTTAATTCAGTCAACATAAATAAGGTGGAATTTCCCTTATCTGTCATTTGAATACATGCATATACATAGTGTAATTGTTGTTCTGAAGGAGCAGTTAGAGCGTAATGCATTCCTAACATGAAGCACCAGGTCGGTGGTTCCACCAGTCATCATAGTGTGTTGGATAATAATCAGTGAAGAACACTGTGATCATCTTATCTCTAATATTCTTAGTATCACTGGTCTTCTTATTGCCTGTTATTTCTGAGGCGTAATCTGAATGCCTTATTGACAAAGTGGTATCCTTTCCTTTTGTTTTGCATGTAGCATTAATGAACTGTTGTGTAGCAGTGTTTGAACCAACATCCAACTTAAGTTTGTTTTAAATACATACATTTAATATTCCTTAAAACTGTCACAACATATGTTATTCCAGGCATAGATTCATACGGAGCCCCCCTGGTGACATTGGTGAGAAAATATTAATACGTGGCCACGAGTTAATAATGTGTGGCCACTAATTAGTTATTATGTTCCCACACATTAGTAATTTGTGGGAACACAATAATGATTACGCAATAACTAAATCCAGATAGTCTATAGAAACTGATGACTGAGTGACAACAAGTCGAGTAAAGTTGGAACGATATTGGCAGATTCAGATTTCACGGATCAATAACTCATGAACAAAACGTTATTCAGACACAAATGACGTCTCCTAAGTACCGTGGTAAGGTTGACAACGAACTACAATCACATTTTGATCAAAAGCCAATACGTGCTGTCCTCCAAACTAGAGACATTACATTGGTCTCTATCTGCAGCCTGAGAAGAAATGAGTGCTCAGGGACCGTCTGCAAAGTGCAACTCCAAAAAAAGAGAATACAATCATATTCAATCACTTCACTATTCTACAGTATATTACTACCAAACTCACTACACACATCAATAGTCTCCTGTTGCTCATACTACAGCAGAGAGTTTGGAAGAATGTGCTTTTGAATAATTTTGGGGAATATTTATAGTGTAAAATCTTCAATAAATATGGCATCATCTTCAATAACGTTACTATTATACAGTATAAATATTCACCAAAATTATTCCAAACCATATTCTTCCAAACTCTCTGCTGTAGTATGAGCAACATGAGACTATTGATGTGTGTAGTGAGTTTGGTAGTAATATACTGTAGAATAGTGAAGTGATTGAATATTATTCTCTTTTTTGGGAGTTGCACTTTGCAGACGGTCCCTGAGCACTCGTTTCTTCTCCGGCTGCAGATAGAGACCAATGTAATGTGTCCAGCTCGGAGGACGGCGCGTATTGGCTTTTTTTTTTTATCAACATGTGATTGTAGTTCGTTGTCGACCTTACCACGGTACGTAGGAGACGTACTTTGTGTCTGAATAACGTTTCGTTCATGAGTTATTGATCCGTGAAATCCGAATCTGCCAATATCGTTCTAACTTTACTCAACTACGTTTCAAACCGTGCATTTCAGCAGCCGAATCAAGTGCCTTTTGCTAAGGATGACACTGTGCTTAACTGCAAGGGATTGCAGAATATCATTATAATTCATACCCAAATGAAAAATAAAATAAAATCAAATCAAAATGATCCATGCTTTGCGATAATAGCCGTAGCCTACGGTACAGAGTTTAGCTAGTGTTGTCACCTTTATACAGTCTATGGTTGTCACTCAGTCATCAGTTTCTATAGGCTATCTGGATTTAGTTATTGCGTAATAATTATTGTGTTCCCACGAATTACTAATGCGTGGGAACATAATCACTAATTAGTGGCCACGCAGCCACGCATTAATATGTTTCTCACCAATGTCACCAGGGGGGCTCCGTAGATTCATGTGAAAGTAACACAAATAGTTTGGATTCATTTAGTTTTGTTTGGGCCCCTGCCCCTCTGACACCCTCTGCACGTGCCTGCTTGTGGTACAGGGCTATATAAAAGACACATATACATCTGATAGGACTGAATGAGCACCACTGCAGGTCTCTCTCTTTAATGACAGCAGTTGGACATCACACTTATTCTACTTCTAACCCTCTGTTTCCTATCTGCGCTTCATACACTTTGTTCACACACTTTGATTCTGACTTGATGCTTCACCCAACATCCAGCATGCCCACTTCAGTTTGTTGTATTTCATTTATGATTGCATTGTCCTTATCTCCTCACTTAATTTGTGATGTATTTGTTTCAGTACACTTTATAGTATCTTCACTATGCACCTGTTCTTGCTAACTGCTGAAGCTGCTGCATTGACTTTCCCTGTGTGGTATCAATTTCATCTAATCTTATCAACTAATACCAACACTTCAATTATCTTAAGATCAAGTGAGGTAGTACCTGATGGCTTGTACCCTGTCAGCTGGACCACCTGTTTGAATGGAAAAAACATACACAATATAAGTTGTATTTTAACAGTGACATGTGACAGCAGTGCAGTGATGATGCATGCATGTTACTCACTTGGTTCCCTGATGCTGGTTTTAAAGAGAAACTCACAAAGCTTTCCTTCCTGAAGCTCTCTGAAACACAATCACAACTTAAAGTGTGCATTTCCCTTTCAGGAGTAACATGATTCAGAACATGTAAGACAAAGAAAATCCATAGAGTAGTAAGTGAGAGTCCACAGCTAAGGAGGAATGGAGCAGGTCATGAGGTTGTGCTTTCCAGAAAGAGTTCATCTTCTTTCCAATGAATCATCTTAAGATGTGAGGTGGGATCAACGCTGCTACAGCACTTGAGGCTTTGACAATAGGTCCACTGTCTTTTCAGTTCATAAGAACCAGCCCATGCTCTTTATGAGGACTCTAAAAGCAGGATTTATTTCACTCAGAAAGAGAGCAAAGAGCAAACAATGATGAATGCAAATGTGTTGCACTAAATGGGAAATGAGGTTGCAAACTACACAGTATTATTAAGCCTTAAATGCTGTGAGTACTCAAAGTCATATCACCACGTCAGCATTATGGTTGCACTCAAAGGGCCGGTTGTAACTTTAAGACTATATAAAAATACATATATAAATATATCATATATATAAAATAATGTATTATATTACATTATTGCCTCTGCATTGGATTACATTACATTACATTACATTGCATTTAGCTGACGCTTTTATCCAAAGCGACTTACAATAAGTACATTCGACCAGGAAGACACAACCTTGAAGAAAACAGAATCATATAAGTACATCAGGTTTCATAGAGCCAAACATTTCAAGTGCTACTCATTATTATCGGATAAGGTAATAATAACTTCATGATTACGACTACGACTACAAGCAGAAGTCTAGGGCAAATAATTGCACGTCTCTTCAGTGAGAATGTCACAAAATAATTTAAAAAGAAAAGCCAAATTCTGGAAAAAAAAGCCACAATCCAATTTTAGACATTTTCAAAAAAAATTCAAAAAAAGAAGTGACATTTAGAAGAAAAAAAGTCAAATTCTGAGAAGAAAGTCAAATTTAAGATGCATTGTGCTCCATGTATGGGCAACGTGCCTCTGTAAATCAGCATGTAACCGTATAATAAACATATATATATTCTTTGCAAGCTCTTGTGGGCCACATAAAATGAAGTCACGGGCCGGATTTGGCCCCCGGGCCTTGAGTTTGACACCCCTGAGCTAGAGTCTATCTCTGCCTGTATAACGCAGACTGAACCCCTCCTTCTGAAATACTTCAGACTTATTCCTGCTGCAGACGGTCTGCGCCTCCCTTCCCTCCTCTTGTTGAGCCTTCAACACTAAAATACATTTGACATTAGACAAAAAACGATTTCATTTTGTGGTGCTGTTTTCTTCTCCTCTGGCCTTTTAAAAAATAAACACAATTTGAACTAGGTCAACACCAAATATTTCCAGCTTCAGCACATTCCGGGTCATTCAGCCTACCGTTCTTGATGACCAATGACGTGGAGGTGGAACTGGGGGGTCCGGAGGTCTCACTAGTGTCTGGGCTGGAGGGAGTCGGGGGACTGCGGCCCCAGGAGGTGATCGGGGCCCTCTGAGAAGGTAAGAAGCTGGTGGGCTGGGAACAGTTCTGAAATACATCATACAAGAAGTGATGAAAAGCATTAAAGATCCCATGTCATGCTTTTCCGGTTATCACCCGTCCCCTTGTGTGTTATGAAGGTTTTTCTGCATGTAAACGGTCTACAGAGTCACAAACCCTCAAAGTACACCCTGTAACGAGTAAAACTCTAACACAGTCTATGCTGCCCCAAAACGCCTCGTTGGAGATTTCTCTTTTTCCATTATTTACTTCCTGGGTACTGTGATGTGTGAATACCCAGAGGCCACACCCTCTGCCAGCCTTTCACGAAACAAAGCTTCACAAGCCTTTCAGTGATTCATGCCGGATATGTACAGCGTCGGGCACTGAAGAACCAGCGGGAGATTCGGGTACACAACCTGTAAGTATTCATTGTTGTTTGTGTATTTATGATGTTTAAAACAAACAAGGTATCTACCACGACTGTTTAAATGGGTAAACGTTACGTTACGTACTACGTTGGGATGGCGGAGAAATGCTCTCCGCAGACCCGCATGCTCACAGCGTTATAAACCTTTTTCTTACTCAATATCAAGCCACACTTATTGTTTTTACTTCGGCTGTGAGTGTTTGTGTGTGCTCAGGATGAGTTTCGCTTGTTCTAGCTGTATCGCCGACCCGGAAGCCTGTCCGCTCCTCGCAGCAGATCGCAGCAACGAGGCTTGCAACGTCCCGACCAATCAGAGCACACTGGGCTCACAGGGAGGGGGGGGAGGAGCTCCAACAAGCCGTTTAGGACAGAGAGTGAATACACATACTATACAGAGATGCTGTATGAGAAACCAATGTGAGATTGGAACATTGAACAATATGAATCTGTTTTAGTATACCTCAACAATGGAATTATGATCAGTGGAAATGGCCATGACATGGGACCTTTAAATCAAGTATGAGTACGTCTACATCACCACTACTGAACCAAACCATGCCTATGCAATTGTTGCCAGCTAAAATGTTATTTTCTGTCCTGTACTGATGGACCTGCAGTGAAACAACTGAAAGGTTGACTTTAATGAAATGTATTATGTCAACACATTTCACATAACTAGTTGAAAGCAATACTCTTTTAAGTTTAAATAAAACATATTAGGTTCAACGTAATATGATTGCTTCAACGTTTCAGTTTTTCAGTGTGTTCACTGCGGTGTTCCTTTTACTCACTCACCGTGAAAGATAAGGCCTTCCTCTTCTCTTTGATCCTCTTTATGGCATTCCTCACCTAAATGAGAAGCAGTGTTTACACCAAGTGGTTGGTCCAAACGGCTGGCAGCTTCACACACCGTACAAACATACATTCTGAGATTCTGCCGCAGTGCTCCAGCAGCAGCTCGGACAATGGACTGAATGCCTCCTTACCTCAGTGTTGTAAACAGCATACACTAAGAAGATGTACAGGCCCTGTGGAGAGGGGAGAGGCACATGTGAGCGCTGGAAGTGGGGAAGAACAAATTCCATTTCCATTCATACAGCTTTTATTGACAATATCTTCAACAAGTCCATTTAGTCATCCACTCACTCTCAGTCAAACATTGCTGTACGAACAAAAGGAGAACTGTATTGCAAAATAGCTTTCATGCTCTCCATCTGTGTGTTTTTTACTCCCCTTTGGCATGAGCTTCAGTCAGATTCAGCAGGATGCAGCACTCAACACTCAGCTGAACTAAATCCAAATTGGTTCTCTTCCTTGTGTACCAGAAACGTAGTGGGAATACTACAAACATGTGACTTCATCCCAACATAAACGCTCCAATGCAGTGGTTGTAGCCCACCCCTCTTATGACCATGTTGCTTTTAGAGAACTAGTTTCTACATGAGCATGTGAGAGAAAGTGTGTTTACAGTCATGTGATGCCTTCATATCGAGGGGCAAGATGCCATTATCTTTTCAATACTGGGTAATTTTAATAACAGTGCACATTCATAGTGTTGCTTTTCAAACCCTGCTTACTTTCTCAGTGGGCGTAAATGTCAGCTTGTTCCTTTCCGACACTTGCGGAAATTGTCTCTCTTTTGGATCTGATTATCTGTGTTGACTGTTTATCTGTTTAGACTTGCCCTTTTCAAAACTAAATCACAAAACAGATGTGGCACCTCTATGTTCATGATCAAATTGTTTGTCAGTGCCTTCAACTGGCACAAAAATATGAGCTTTTCAAAAAACGATTTCTTGAGTGATTTCTGATTTGCCACCTCTGCGTTAGGCTCGGTTTGGTTTAGGCGTTGGATGTTTGTCACGGCATGCAGATGGCAATCTGCTGTGTCAAAGTCGGACGCTCCGAACACCGCGGTTCTGTAACATCCCGCTAACGCCTTTAATTATTCACATGGTCTCTTGTCATGAACACACTAGGTCACCTCATCTCAATCTCATCTCATCTCAAATGTTCAAATGAGTGTGTTTAAAGATGTGTTGTTAGTGATGTGGAGCCCGAGCACACAGAAAGGGAGATTACGTTATAACCATGGTAAACACTGTCAGATATGGGGACTGTTGTTGAGGGACTTTTAGGACACATTTATCTCACTATGACTCCATGATAGTTAATTGCTTTGTTATTCAAAATGCCTTACAGACTACAGGCTATGGTGTCTGATCCAGTGTTTAGTCTTTCTCTGCAATAAACAACTTTTCAAATTCTCTACACTGCTGAAGCTGCTGTTGACAGAGGCCTTGGTGTATGGTGCTAGAAATATAGAAATGAATGTAAAAAAGAGTAAGACTACTATCATGGAAACAGAAGTGACCCTAGGGCTAGTTTAGAGATTAAAACCTCTACTGGATCTTATTATTTAGCCATGTTGCTCTGCTTTCCTGGCCTTTAGACCTCTCCGTCATACTTTGCTTTTTATAGATTGTTGAAGCAGCCCAGTAAAATAACTTTTTCTGAGAAGACAGCGGGCTGGCCCAGCTTCATCCTCCTACCTACATGAGGAAGAACTCCTACTGTTGTGTTATCTGCCCTCAGCTGAACACTGGCAGTAAATCTGAATTAACTAGCAGCTCTGTGGGGGTCACCCAGGGGCCAGCTCATTGTGATTAATTAAAGACCAGGGAGGGGTGGGTGGGGTAAGACAATACAGGGGGAAGATGAGTGGACGGAGCGTATAATAACAACAGGGACAGTGTGTGGAACCAGACTGAAGCGAGAGAGATAGGAAGTGAGGGCTGCGTTATCATGGGGGGGGGGGGGGGGGGGGGGAGATGGAGGGAGATGTGACCTGCCGTTCAAAGGAATCACTGCCTCCTCCCCACACACACACACACACACACACACACACACACACACACACACACACACACACACACACACACACACACACACACCACACACACACACACACAGGTATAATGTCTCTCAAGCAGCTGTAGGTGGGAATGGAGAGAAAGTTAAGACATCATTTAGCTTTCAGTTAAATGAATGTTGGTGAAGGCACTGTGTACATGAGGTTCTCCATTCTCTGCTACTTTTCACATCTATTCCACAACATTTCAGAGGGAAATATTGTATTTTGTATTGCACTATATTTAGTAACTTTAGTTACTTCAAATAACCATATTCAAATTATACAAAACATTAACTCAAAAAAAGAAAATAACTTTACCAGCTGCAACACATTAATGAATCAATAATGAATTCATCTTGGAGATATTTACTTGTACTTTTGTATGCTAAAATCTTTGTGGTTACATTTGGAATAACAGAATGCTTGTAATAGAATATATATTGTCACTACTTTCCACCTCTGTTCTATATTTTTTGGAAACACAACTCATGAAGTGGGGTCTGACGTTAGTCCCCGACCTGACGTTTTTTTATGATTGTACACAGTGGATTCAAAAAGGTAACACTTTACGATAAGAAAATCATCATGTAGTGATCTCATCATACTTCAAGTGGTAATGGATAACATTTGTGCTTTAATTTATTATTACAAGGTAATGTAATACAATCAAGACAGCATCTGCGTAGAACCTTTAAAGTTGGTATGGCGAATTTAGCAAGCTATTTTACATCCATCAGCACCATCATTTATTTAGAGTTGTGTGTGTGTGTCTAACTGATGAATGTAATTCAATTTGGTTTCTCTTTAGATCTGGTTTAGGACTCTACCGACTGCTGAAGGACATATTTTTTTAACAACTAAATGTTCACCAGCTAGTCTCTGAAAGTGTCTGTCTGCTGTTTGCTGAGTAGGTTCTGTACAGCAGATAGTGTACAGCAGGTAGTGTACAGCAGGTAGTATACAGCAGGTAGTATACAGCAGGTAGTGTACAGCAGGTAGTGTACAGCAGGTAGTGTACAGCAGGTAGTGTACAGCAGGTAGTATACAGCAGGTAGTGTACAGCAGATAGTGTACAGCAGGTAGTGTACAGCAGGTAGTGTACAGCAGGTAGTATACAGCAGGTAGTATACAGCAGGTAGTGTACAGCAGGTAGTGTACAGCAGGTAGTATACAGCAGGTAGTATACAGCAGGTAGTATACAGCAGGTAGTGTACAGCAGGTAGTATACAGCAGGTAGTATACAGCAGGTAGCGTACAGCAGGTAGCGTACAGCAGGTAGCGTACAGCAGGTAGCGTACAGCAGGTAGAATACAGCAGGTAGTGTACAGCAGGTAGTATACAGCAGGTAGTATACAGCAGGTAGTATACAGCATGTAGTATACAGCAGGTAGTATACAGCAGGTAGTATACAGCAGGTACTGTACAGCAGGTAGTGTACAGCAGGTAGTATACAGCAGGTAGAATACAGCAGGTACTGTACAGCAGGTAGTATACAGCAGGTAGAATACAGCAGGTAGTGTACAGCAGGTAGAATACAGCAGGTAGTGTACAGCAGGTAGTATAAAGCAGGTAGTGTACAGCAGGTAGTATACAGCAGGTAGTGTACAGCAGGTAGTATACAGCAGGTAGTATACAGCAGGTAGTGTATGGGGGAGTGTGTGTGATTACCTGGAGGGCATTGAGAGCGATGAAGACGTAGGCCACCACTACGGACAGGTGGACCAGAACTCCACACAGCCAGGTCAGACCCAGCACCGGCAGCAGGATGAGGACGGGACGGGTCACAGCCCTTCACACACGCACACACACACACACACACACACACACACACACACACACACACACACACACACACACACACACACACACACACACACACACACACACACACACACACACACACACACACACACACACACACACACAGTACACAAACACGAATCAGAAATGCCCTTATAGTACAGTAGTGCCTGAATTACATTCAATGCGTTCCAATACAGACGCATGCAAACATGATCTAATCAGACCACTGAAACAAGCTGTGTTGTGTCTCCTTTTGATTTCTAAATGCTCTATATACCTTCTCTTTGTCAAACATTTTACAAAACGTGAGTATACTGTGCGCCAACAGAAGGAGCCAGAAAAGTTATGTTTTCAAGGTTCGATTATTTCCTCCTTGAGTCCTCAAACATCTCTGCACTATAGATTTTCCCGCCTACCACACTCATTCACCACTGTTCCATTGCAATACTTTCAGTTATCCTGGTACTTATACAGCCAATAACCATTTATTGGGGCAAGGCAGAAAAGGTGGCCTTTGTTCAAACCACTATTGTTGTCACGCCGCTGCACCTGGGCAGAGAGATTGAGTTTTCAGACCGCACTGTGTATCCAAGGACAAAGCCTGCACTCACTTCCCTCTCCTGCCTTTTATTTTTGAATGTTGTTCGCTCTAATCCCCTGAATACATGTAACACTCTAGAGCTGGCACAGACACATCTACTTTCAGTGTGTTTGTGACGGAATGGAGAGAGATGGCAGGGGGCGGGGGGACGGAGTGGCGTTATGGCATTTCCATTAGACATAGACAAAAAAAAAAAATCTGGATGGAGGAATAGAATGTAGAGACAATAAAGAAGAGACATGCCTATGCTCAATCCTAACGAGCAATATTGAATTGTTGGAACCAACTAAGTGTTGGAGGTGCAGTGTTGGTTTCAGAAGGCTCAGAATTGGCTTTTTATTTACCGCATTAGTACTCAAAGTACTGAAAGTAAAATGCCACTAATACATACTGCACAAAGTGCAATGTGAATTGAGCCTTTAAGTCATATTCACATGCCTTTCCAAAAATGCTAGACATGTTTCTTGCATACATAGCTATATTGCAGCAGAATTAAATAGTTGTATTACATGCATGTAACCATAGCAACATAGACCTGGCACAATGAAAAGTGAAATTGTGTTGTTGCTCAGCCTCTCACTGGAAGTGACACATTATGTATTCAAATTTGCAGCAGAGTGTGCATAGAGCTGTGTTAATCCAGCTGTGAGTCACACTGCTGCACTGGGGGACATGTTGATGCATCACCATCAGTGTTGGGCAAGTTACTTCCAAAATGTAATACATTACACATGACTTATTACTGTATTTTTAAAGTAATAAGTTACATTACAATATTACTGTCTCTGAAATGTAATGAGTTACACTACTTTTATATTACTTTTGAGTTACTTTCACCAAAATAACTGCAAAATAATGGCTGGGTATTTTAAATGCTAAAATGTAGTTTAGTGCAGCAAATGTGTAGGCCAAGCCCCCAGGAAGTGCGCCGGACTCTGAGGAAAATATTCATTGTGGCCAAACGGCGGTACTACACTTCCTTTAGGTTGCTGGGCCCGGAAACACTTTTTCCCATTGACTTACATTGGGAAAGAGACGTCTGTAAATCGTTGGATAATTTTTTTTAAACCAAATACACTACCCAGTATGAACGTTTGTATTGCCCTTATTAAAAACATTTGGTCCTCAAGTTGTAAAATGTGCTAATAATGTTATAATGAGTTATTTTCCTCGGCATTATGAACGTGCATCCAACCCACGGGACCGAGCCGCCCGGTGTAGGTACCATATCTGCACGGCCTACCAGATCAGCACGGGGTCTGTTACGCTTACTAATGACGTCACGCATTGGCTGTACGGCAACCCAAGAGCAGGGGCGGCGCCAGGGGGGAGCACCCCCCGGGATTGCCAAAGCAACCCCTAAGCACCCCCAAGAAATATGTGTTTTTTTTTTTCGTTTTTAAAATTATTATTATTATTATTAAATTAAATTAGAAAAATCATTGATTACATTAATGCAAATGTGAAACAAACAAATGTTTGAGCAAAAACATAAAGCCAACACAGGTGATATGATTAGGCCAATGGTCAGCACCCATTCGATTTTTGACCTACCCATAGGCTAAATGACTTTGTGACATTTGAGTGACTTCCTGTTAGCTAGAGCGCCAAATTATTTGCTAACAGCAAAGTGGAAAATGGATCGTTTTTTAGTCCTTAAACGTCCACGTGTGGATACTCAATCAAAACCACCTGAAAGCGAGAGGGATTCTGCACATAATAGGCCTCGTGAGTACAAGTAGCTTACTTCTGGGTCTCTGTGTTTCATTCAAGCTCTGCTCTGTGTGTGTGTGGCACGAGCCATTTTGTGGGCGCGCGAGCGAGCGAGAGAGAGAGAGCACACCGGTGGGTATCTACTATCTACCGGAGATCGTTGTGGTTAGCATCTGGTGCTAACTAGCCAAGCTAACGGATATAAGAAGCTTTTTCAACAACAAGGTGGAGGGAGAACTCTCTCCTGTCAGACTGAGAGTCTCAGGTAACCTCAGCTCAGGTGAAGTAAAGGACTCTCTCAGTGTTTAGATAGTTCACTTTAGTCTAGTTATCTCAGTGGGTCTCAAACGGTTTGTTTTAAGGGGAGTGATTTGTAAAATATCTATGAAGAAATAGAAAATCTGTTTATAGTTCTGTTTCATATGGGTGTTGAGAGATGTATCTCTATAGATCTCTCCATTTTGCTCTCAAAGTGCACCAGATTGATGCTTTTAACTTCAATATTTTAAAAAAGATCTTCCTGGGGGAGCATGTCACCGGACCCCACTATAGGAGGTGAGGACCCTCCTATAGGAGGTGAGGTCCACTCCCCACTTGTAAAAATAGCACTTTACCCCTGCTTACACCTATATGCCGTGAGCTGATTATCGAAGTCGCGGGTACACTGTGTGTGTGCGTGTGGGGAGTGTTGCAGTAGAAAATTCAACTGTAGCGCTGGTGCATTAATGGGAAACCCTTAATGTTGAGCACCCTCTATGAAACGTCAAGCTACCCCACAGCACCCCCTAGAGAAAATCTTTGGCGCCGCCACTGCCCAAGAGGACATTTTACACGGCCAAATTCCACAAAGTATATTAAAAAATAACAATCGACAGTGAATGTATGTTAGTGGAACTGTGTCAGGAAAGTGAATTGTTAATTAAGTAATGTTATTGAAGAACTGAAATGCATACAATTGAAAGTTAATAGCCTATGTAGCATATCCCTCCGAAATATGGTCGTAGACTTTACTGATGATTTAGAATGTATTGAAACTCCAGACTCAACGTAAGAGCTTGTGCCTCTTCGGGGGGGTGCTAACATTTAAACATAAACTTTATTCTTTACTTTCTCCATCTTTATGATATCAGATACCGTCATGTTGTTTCCATAGCAACAACAACTTCCTGTCAACAGCTCCTTTTTCACCTGCTTAATACAGGTTTCATCACTGCTACTGTGGTCACATCGGGGACCCGTAACATTTATAATAGTTGAGATGTGAAGGGTGTTTTTTTGTCTGTGTTCTGGGTTCCTGGAGTTTTTTGAACAGACAGTACACATGTTCAGAGGATGAACGTGTGTACTGTCTGTGGGAGTTTACGCTGTTGACAGGAAGTTGTTGTTGCTTTGGAAACACCAGATACCATTTTGGAGGGATATGATACATATTAACTTTCAATTTTATGCATTTCAGTTCTTCAATAACATTACTTAATTAACACTTTACTTTCCTGACACAGTTCCACCAACATACATTCACTGTCGATTGTTATTTTTTAATATTCTTTGCGGAATTTGGCCGTGTAAAATGTCCTCTTGGGTTGCCGTACAGCCAATGCGTGACGTCATTAGTAAGCGTAACGGACCCCGTGCTGATCTGGTAGGCCGTGCAGATATGGTACCTACACCGACACGTTCATGTTACGTGTTCAGTACTACATGAATAAGAACGAACCATATCGCCTTACTGCCAGCCCACGGAGCTGTAATAATGGATATATTGCACATGTTTGCTGTAATTCATCATTAGTAAAATATTATACTACATGGGCTGTATGATGTAAATCTTGTACCGTAAATGTTGTATTAAATAAAGTTAATATTACCGACGTAGATTAACGTCCCTGTAGCTTCTTATTGCACTTGAAATATACCATTAAAGGAGTTGAACGTAGCTGTTTGCTATTACTATATAATACAACGCAGGGATAAGCCAGAGCGTACAACCTTTGCATGTGGGCACAACCCGTTTTGACCCAGTTTGATTAATTCGCTATACCATATGATATCGCCCGGGGAAGTCGACATACTTATACATATATAAATAAAGATATATGTTTCAAAGCTCTTATCAAATTAACAGTTGTATTAATTGTATTAATTATAATTGTATATACATATATATATATATATATATATATATATATATATATATATATATATATGTATATAGCCTGTGTGTTGTATATGTATACACACAAAGGAACAGCCTTTGTTGTCAAAAAACTAATAACAAGTTGTATTGTAGTGTTGTTTCATGCTTATCCAATCCAATCCAACTTTATTTATATAGCACTTTAAAACCTTCAGGCAAAAGTGCTTTACAGAGAGATAAGCTCAAACAACATAATATAAATACATTTAAAATACAAAACACAAAACAAACCAGAATAAACGTAATAATTAAAAGATAAATAACAGCCATATAATAAAAACAATAGACTACAGAAAGCAAATAAAAGCAACAATCTACTTGTTTCCGATTTGCTAAGGAGAAGAGGTGGGTTTTAAGACGGGATTTAAAAGCAGACAGTGTGGGAGCCTGTCTGATGAGCAAGGGCAGATCGTTCCACAGTTTAGGGGCGGCAGCAGAGAAAGCACGGTCCCCTCTGCGCTTAGACTTTGTTTTT